TAGGGGATTCATTTTGTATACGGAGTCTGAGGCATTTCCCAGAAAAGATCTTGGTGGAGTTGAATGTTCTGGTAAGTAAGCTGCTGGTGTGGCAGTTCACTGCACATGGGGCGGCTGGAGCACACCAGAGAAACAGAGAGTTCATAGAATCATAGAATGGTTTGGGTTGGAAGGGACCTTGAAGATCATTGAGTTCCAAGCCCCCTGCCATGGGCAGGGACACCTCCCACCAGACCAGGTTGCCTAAAGCTTCATCCAGACTGGCCTTGAACACTCCCAAGGATGGGACATCCATGACTTCTCTGGGCAACACGTTCCAGTGCCTCACCACCCTCACAGGAAAGATTTTCTTCCTGATGTCTAATCTAAATCTACCTTCTTCCAGTCTGAAAGCATCACTGCCTCTCCTATTGCTACGTGCCTTTGTAAGAAGTCCCACCCCATCCCTCCTGTAGCCCCTTCAGGCACTGGAAGGCTGCTATGAGATCTCCCCGGAGCCTTCTCCAGACTGAACGACCCCAACTCTCTCAGCCTGTCCTCACAGGAGAGGTGCTCCAGCCCTCTGATCGCCTTCATGGCCATCATCCTTGATGGTTCACCCTCATTTCCAGAAGGAACACTGGCAGTTCTCAGGCTGCAAGGAGACCAAAGCGGGCACCTCCTCATGCGGTGCGCGTTCACTTTGCGCCGCGGGAACTGGGCACGGACTATGAAATGAGAGGAATTAACGTGCAGCCCTTAGTGTCATCTCCGGATCGGGCTAAGCCAGCAGCGACCCTGCGCTTTCATTCAGCCACGCCAGGCCCGGCGCAGGGTGTCACGGCGAAGGCGCTCACACATCCCCCCCTGCCCGCTGCGCTCCCGCGGGCCAGGCAAACCCCAACCCCACGGCGGGACCAGCGCCAGGTCCCTAACGCTCCGTCCCGGCCCGCCCGCTGCCCCGGGCACCCGTCTCCAGCGGGAGCGGGCCTCGCCGCTGAGGGCGAGAGCGAGATGGGCGGCCGGGGGCGATGGCCTGGGCTGGCGGGCCGGGCGGGACGCGAACCCGGGTTCCCCAGAGCCGCAGTGCCGGGCCCGCCTGGG